TTCCTTTTAAGTAAAAATTAGAACAAAATGAAACCTTTTTAGTTTTTACATCTTTTATGATGTTAGAAGGTGTTGAAATTTGCCCTTACATTTGTTATATTAAGCTAACTTGTATTCTTACCAAACACAATTTTAAACATGTTCGCGGTTACTAAACGCCGATTTGGTCAGAATCCAAAAGCATAACTGTAGTCGGCTAATGAACAATTTTTGTAATTATAAGTTCTAGTTCGAACAATAGATTTTTTTTGTAATTCAAAGGGGTTGAGCCCAAATCTTTTTTTTTTTTTTTTAAAGAAGGTAAGTGTATTTTTTTCTAGAATTTATTTAGGTATTTTTTACATGCTTATAACAAAATATTCGAAAGATTGCATTTTTAAAATTCTTTGAACTTTCACAAAAGACAAACACACGCCGGTGGCGTGCCAGCTTCCACCGTCCCACCACTAAACCACCAGCTCAAAATACTCCCCACCGCCGCGTACCATTCCAATAATCCATTGAAGAACCAGTAGATAGCGCAAACCTGAAAAAATTGAGATTGTGAGGAAATTGAAAATCATCTTTTATTTTCGAATATGGCGGCGGTTTCAGAAAACCAGAGCCCATCTCCAACAATTGTTATACCCGACGAATGGTCTGATGCAGCCGAGGCCATAGCCAGTGGAGGCGTTTCTTTTCCGATTGCCTTGGTGTGCGGGCCGAAGAACAGCGGCAAAACCACTTTCTCCCGCCACCTCGTCAATGTTCTTCTCCAGAGGTATCTTATGGTGCCTGAACTACTACACGTTGTTTGTAAACGTTGTTAGTCATTCCTTGGTATTATCTGTGGCCTTATTGTGTGGAGCTTTGAATTGATTGACTTGGGTTTTGGGAAAATGTTGTAATCTGGCTATGTGTTTAACTATTTGTGGATAGTTGAAGTTATCTGATGGGAAAGAGAGCTGATTGTGAAGTTTGAGTGAGTTCTAAAAATTGTGAATGGCTGTAAATTTTTACTTGGAAGCTCACTGTGTGATCATTTTAAAAATTGGAACTTTTCCAGCTTTGTATTTGGTTCTCTTGTTAAGTAGATTATTCGACAAATTGTTGGTGGAGATGTTTGGTTGTGGTGATACACAATTTTCTGTTTTATTGTTGAATTTGTTGGGAGTGAAGTACACTATTTGCTGAACAAGCAAGGATTAGCATAGACAGATGTGCTTTACTGTATATGCGCTCCTCGAGAAGTTTGTACAGAGAACTATATGACGATAAGACATCTAAAGGTTTAGCACATAAAATAAGAGGTGTAGTTTGATAGAAATGACGAAGTGAGAGTGTGAGGTTAAGACATACAAATGTTTAGATTCATCTATGGTGTGGATTTTTCATTAACAAGGAGAAAATGCTCAAAAACTGACAAGATCTTGATTTTCAGGCACAAAAGAGTGGCTTATCTTGACACTGATGTTGGGCAGACAGAGTTTACTCCTCCTGGTCTTCTGTCTCTTACTGTTATCGACAAAATAACTCCAGGTAAATCATTTTCATGGATTTTACGTTTGAATAGGCTGATTGTTTGTTAGTTTTGGAATGCTAATATGAAAGTACATTTTCTGTTATTTAGATCTGACAATTCCATGCTTGAAAACTCCTGAGAGGTATGCACTTCGCAACTTATCTTGATCATATTTACGTGGCATCTGAGATCTCTGTTTGTATTTATACATTTTTATTTGTTAAAATGCAATCAAAATGAATATAAAACTATAAAAGTATGAAATATGCAAATTGATTTGGCTTGCATATGAATTCAGTTTCATATAATCGGCATCTGTGCTGATGTGCACTATTGTGTTCATATGGCATACTACCTGTAGTAATTATTGGTGGTGAATCTGTTACGTTTTGCTTGTCTAGTTTTCGTTCTTACCGAAAGAATTATGCCTATTGTTAAATGATAAGTGTTTTGCTTATCAGTGACCATTAGTCCATATGTTGTGTATTTCTTGCCTGCATTACTACTATGGCTATTGTGTTGAAAAGCACATACTTACAGATTTTCTATTTGTGTTGTTATGACTACGTTTTTTTTTGTTTTTTTGGATAATAGAACCAATATATTCAACAGCAAAGGGGCGGCAAACTGAAATTGTTATTAGTGGCAGTTCAACAGTTTATAGAGAATTAGTTAGTTTTATTATTAACCTGACAAAGGCCGATCAATTAATATATATTACAATTTTTGACAAAGTATCTGAGTCAACAAAAACAATAGAATGTGTGTCTGTGTGCATATATACATAAAAAAAATTAAAGTATATAAATTAAGAAGTTATTGTAAAACATTTTTTTTTTTTTTTCATAACATAAATTAAAAATTATACCACGCAGCATGAATGATTCATATTTTTATCCCTGCAAGTACATTGATGATACAAGTTCATGAAATGGAACTTTCACGAGCTAATATTTACTTTTCTACATTATTTCAGATGCTTTTTCTTTGGTGATATCTCTTCAAAAAGGGACCCAGCCATATATTTGACTTATATATCGGCCCTGTATGACCACTATATGGAAAGATACTGCACTATTAACAACACAGAAACTGAGGACAGTGCTGGATTGCCACTTGTCATAAATACCCCTGGCTGGGTAAAAGGTTTGTCCATTGTTGCTCCGTTTTTTCTGTTCTTCAAGAACCTGTGATAAATTTGAAGTTCAAATATTTTTGAGCACGATAAATGACATACTATTTAATCTATTTTGTTTGCCAGGTATTGGTTATGAACTACTTGTAGACATGCTAAAACATATGTCTCCTACACATGTGGTTAAGATTCAGATATCTGCCGAGAGCAAGAACTTACCAGCTGGCGCATTTTGGTTAGATGAGGCGAATGCCAATGCCGTGACTGTCATTGAGATCAGTGCTGCTCTGCAGGACTATTTGAAGAGATCGTACGTTTTAATACTTGTTTTTGTTAAATATTTGATTTTGTCTGATACTATCATTTTTGTAATTTTACAAAGGCTTCAACTCATTTGCATGACTTTGGTTTTTTCTGTTACTTCTTAATCCATGTGCAATTTCCATCTGTGAAGTCTTTTGAGACTTAGTTTGTGCATTCAAATAAGACAGTTATGTGATATTTCCTCTCTAATTGTTGCCTTTGCTAGACTTTTTCTCCTTTTCATACTTTCTAATTGTGTACTAAAGAACTACTTTTTTTTTTTTTTTTTTTTTTTTTTNNNTTTTTTTTTTTTTTTTCTGAAATAACCATAGTGGGGTTATCAGCCTCAGAGTCGATTTGAATTCTGAAAATCTCAATCTACGAGGTTACAATTTTGCATATATTCCCTAACTATCTCCTATTCAGTGTATTGGTTCGGAAAGATGCACGCCTTCTACGTGATCTTCGTGTAATGGCATACTTCAGACAATGCTTTCCAAGTGATGTGACCATCTCCACGATCAAGGAACTTGCTCGTGCGCTGGCCTCTCACCCACCTTATGAAATTCCCATATCGGGCATCAAAATCAAGCACCTTCACTGCCAGGTACATTTTCACCTACTCAGATCTTTGCATTATTTTCATGAACATTGAATTAGGTTGTGATTAGATATGGATTTGATTGGTTTTGACTTTTTTTTTTTGTTTTTTTTCTTGTTAACCATAATTAATTTGAAAAAAATGGTATGGTTAGTTGTTAGTTGGAATTTAAGTTTAAATTAAAATAAATTTAAAATAGAAGAATTAAAGTTGATTTGATGTAAAAGTAGGAGAAAAATGATTTGAAGTGATGGTTAGTTAAAATTATGTGTATGGATGAATAGTGAATTAAAGTTGATATGATGTGTAAAAATGATTGGTTGGTCTTACATAAATTTGAGTTTTGATTGGTTTTTTTTGTTAAAGTTTATATCCAATCACACCTTTAGTATCTCTTTGAAGATTATTTTAGCCTGTTGCTTCTGATTGTGTGCTGAATTCTTGAATAGGTCCCAGTGAGTGAAACTTTCTACAGTTTGAATGCGAGTATTGTTGGTCTAGGTGTCGGTTCAGTTTCCGACCAATTTCCTCGTTGTGTTGGCTTGGGTAAGTTCTTTTAACCTTAAGCATGGAATATTATATTCTCAGTCGAGCATCATTTAGTTATCTTTTTTGTTTTCTTTTATTTCTATTGAAAGCTCGAGATTTCTCTCTCTTCAATTGATCCAGGGATTGTGAGAGGCATCGACACCTTTAATGGGGTACTCCATGTTATAACTCCTGTTCCACAGCAGTGTTTGGAAGATGTTGATCTTTTACTTCAAGGGTTTATTCAAATTCCAACTGCTTTACTACAGGTATTTCCTCATTCGTCTTGCTGGAAACAAATTTGTCGACTTCTCTATTTTCCTCGCAAAATTTATTCATCATATATATTCTGTTGCAGTTATCTATGTTCATTTCTATTTTATCATTTCTTCTTGCCATTGTTGAAATTTGTATATAGAAACTTAATGCTATTGGACTGACATCATTCAGCATCAATTAAAATTTATTCCATCGAAGAAAAAGGAAAGCATTTTGATCTCTATATAACATATTTCTTCTTTGCTTACCTACTGATTTTCAAAGTAACATATTTCTTCTTTGCTTACCTACTGATTTTCAGTCGATTCTCTGAATAAATGATCGACATTTTGACCCGAGCTCTTTACTTTGTTTCTTGCTTCAGGTACAAGGTTGTGTTTCTCCTTACATGTTTGCAAATGTCGTCTCTACTAATTAGATGCTCGTTTATCACTTGTGGAGTTTCGGGATAGCTTTCTTTACTAAACACTTGCTAATCAAACTACTTGAAATATGTTCGGATCAGCATGTTACTGTCTTATGCTAAAAAAAAAACATGTTATCGCTTAATTGTACTTTGAAATATTAACTTGAAATGACATTGTCTTGAAACTTTGATTGTCGAAGGTAACTGAATGATGCTCGATTGGTGTAAAACCTATTACCTTTCTTTTTATTAAGAAAATTTGGCAAGAATTCGAAATCTTTCCTTTTTTTTTTCCCTTTCCTTTTTCCTCCATTGCAGAATGGTGTTGGAAGTTTTCGACCAAAAGGGTTTATGAATTTTGAGACTATGACTGAGGTAATGATTGCCTATTAGCCGGATAGGAAAATGATACAGTCCCGTTACGGAATGGTTCCGTAATAGGACCGTAGAAGAGCCGGATAACTTATTGTACTAGTTGGTCTGACGAGCTAATGCGACTAGCCGTTTGTCAAAACGTATGATAACAAATAAACGTATGATAAATAACATAAATTTATAGTTACATTGTTCTTTGTTTTTTTTCTTGGATTCCCTCTTCTCAAACTGATGCTCTTTTGAGCTTTTTCAAAATTATCCTTTTTTTTTTCGTTCAAAAAGTTAATCAAATAAGCTCGTTATCAAACAAGTTAATTAGCAAGTTTTATTTGTCAATCTTTAAGGTTTAATCCGCTAATAAACTAGTCAATGTCTCTTAATAGCACTTGATAATAATAGAATTGCAATATTGTTATGGGTTTTTTTTTCTCTGCCTGTGTCAGACCGTTAATTCAGGTAAATTTCCCGCCTGGCAAGAATCTACTACCCTTGACCACATAATACTATCCAAAAGCACCTAAATTTAGTCAAACCTCTGCAAAACCAGACATCCTCATTCCTCCTCTTCCTAACTTCAAACAAAGGCACAAAAAAAAAAAAAAAAAAAAAAAAAAAAACAAAAACAAAAACAAAAAGAGAGAGAGAGATTACAAAGGGATAACCATTTGGGATTCATTACCAATCCCTAAAAAAGATTCAAAATCCCTCAACCAATCTCACAATCTTGTTTTTGTTCCGTTTTCTTCATTTTTTCGGCAAAATGCCTGTGGGCCCCATCAAGACCTTCCTCGTACGTGCGGCCCTCGAGTGGGCCATGACGACCCTCCTCTCCGCCGAAGGCCTTCTCTCGCTAGCTGCTCGGGAGCTCGCCCGACGATTCGAGCTCCAGGCCCCGTGCCCCCTCTGCACGAGGACCGACCGCTACAACGAATCCTTGTGCGGGGCCCACAAGCGGGACATCTCGTCCCTCGCGTACTGCCACGCACACGATAGGCTCTCGGACGTCCGGACCATGTGCCGGAGCTGCTTCCTCTCGGACAAGGACTCCTCGGACTGCGACAAGTACAAGTCGCTCGTTGGGGTTCTGCAAAAGGACTCTTCCCGTGAGGAGGAGAGGGACGACCCGAAATCGGGCGTGAAGGAGGGGATTATTCCTCCAAATACTGCTGTTGCTGCTGCTGATTCTACTACTACTAAGTGTTCTTGTTGTGGGGAGATTCGGAGGGCGAGGCCCTCACCGTTGAATTGCGTGGGGAGACGGTCGATGATGAGCGAGAAGGCTTCATGTTTGTCTCCACAGGCGGCAGGAAGGAACGACAAGTGGTGCGGGTTTGAGTCTCCGCGCTTTAGGTGCTCGGCTAGGAATGATTCGCCGCGCATTAAATGTTCGAAGGGTGAGTCGCCGCGCATTAGGTTTTCAGAGGGTGATTCTTCGAATGTCGTCGATACTCAAGGTGAGGAGGCTCAAGCGCTCATTTTATAGTCGTGTGTCGAAATTTTGAAAATATGAAAAATAACCACATTTCGTAGAAATTTGATTTGTAGCCTAATTGATTCTAGAAATCATTTCTAGGATTTGGGAAGTGGTTTCTGCTGTTATAGAAATGGTTTTTAGAATCCAAAGCGACAATAATCTTTCCACAAGAAAGTGATCAATAATATTTATCATCTCTCTATTTATATGTTCCTCTTGATTTCAACGTTAACGTTTGTGGAAATCACATCCGTAGGAAGAAAGACGGAATGTTTGAGGTTCTTGTTCGTGTTTGTGTTTGTGTTTGTGTTTGTGTTTGTGTTTGTGTTTGTGTTTGTGTTCGTTTTCGGTTGTTATTTCTTATTGTTTCCACTTGAACGAATAAACATCATGATAGGAAATTCTAAATAAATAGTGAATATCTTGATGCAAAAAGCGTCTCTACCTACGTTTTGTTCAGACAAAGAGGACGTAATCAAGGCCACAACAACACTCATACCGCCGGATTCTAAGGACACAAACGATGACACAAATCGGACTCCAAAACTCACCCGAGCAAACAAACTTCTCGCTCTCCCTCTAAAATCGGCTCCCGTGAGTCCCATATGGGTCAAACGTGGCGTTCGAAAGCTAACAACTGATAAGGAAGACGAGCCAAATGATAGGGGCCCACTCACCGATGTGGAAACCGATATCTCGAATCGCATGAGGAGACAAGTCTGTTTGGACCACAGTTCATTAATGGAACTATACATGGAGCTGGATGAAGAAAGGAACGCTTCTAATGTGGCGGCAAATAATGCCATGGCCATGATTACTCGTCTGCAAGCCGAGAAAGCGGCTGTCCAAATGGAGGCTTTACAGTATCAGAGGATGATGGAGGAGCAAGCGGAATACGATGAGGAAGCTTTGCAGGTTACGATTATTTTTTCCCCCCTATGTTTCGATTTGTGGATATCATTTAAAACTACATTTAAAAGATTTTTTTTCCCTTTTTGGTGCAATATGAAGCAGAGCATTTTTACCAATTTAGAGAAAAAAAAAATGCAGGCTATGCAAGATTCGCTCGAACAGAAGGATGATGACATAAATGCTTTAATGGCCAAACTGGAATTGTACGAAGAAAAGTTTGGGGTTATCGAGGATGATGAAGATTACCAAGAAATGAAATCTCAGTCTTTCGTGTCCTTTAGCGAGAATTCGGCTAGCGGCAGCTTAAACGGAGGTGATTCAAATGAGAGCGAACGTGCTCATAACGAAAATCGTGTGGAGAACAGAGGGGAAAATGAAGAGATGTTATCATTCGATTTTGAGGGCGAGAGACTTTTCCTTTTCGGCCTGTTAACCGATCTTGAGAAAAAGTTGTATGCCAATGAAGAACGAAATTCCTCGGAGGCTGACAATATCAAGAATGAAGATGAAGGTGAAAAAGTCCAACAATTTCTTCTTTTCCTTCTTTCTTCACTTCTGATTTCTGCATGAAATTCTGTATATTCATTTTCACTTCATTGGAAACAAGGTGTATAAGATAACTGAAGGTTTATAGTCTTCAAAATTCGGCACTTTCGAATACTGTTTCCAATTCCTACTATACACATCTGTTTTTCTTCGTTTTGAACCTTTATATGATTTATGAATGATAATCTCACTTTTTTTGTAGCAGGAAATAACGATAAGGCTACCCTCACACGAGAAGTGTCCTCGATCAAGGAAAGATTAAGAGACATCGAAACAGATAGTTGCTTCTTAAAGCATGCGGCTATGGCTTTGCAAAAAGGGGACAAGGGCACGAAACTCCTGTCTGAGATAGCTCAAAACCTACGGAAAATTAGGCAGTCGATGAGATCATCTTCGGACAGAAACACCGTTGCATGACCTCATTTTCTTTTCTCATTTTTTGTTTCTCAAATGTTTGTTTCCTCCTAGGGGTTTTCATTCTTTGTGCTTCCGATTTCTGTAGCTAAGTTTGGATGAGGTAAAATTTGTATCTTGACTTAAAAACATATGATGTGGGGGTGTTAACTGTTTTTTCTATCAAGAGAAAAAGCTATCTTTTGTAGTGTACTTTTTGAGGAAAAAAAGGAACAAGGAAACAGAATGATGAAGCATGCAGTTGTTTGGACTTTGAATACACATTAGTTATGAACATAATGTGGCTTTTTTTAAACCTTTCTGATGCAATAAAATCCGTATCACCTGCAAACCGTAATTGTACCGTACGTTGAGTACTGTTTACGGAACATGAAAGATAGTCGGCACAGAGAGGAAGAAAGGGTAAGGCTTCGAAACCTCGTATATGTTTTAGGAGTGCACAAAATACTAATAACCGAGCCAAACCGACTGAAAACCGCATATTTCTGTTCGGTTAACCAAACGAACCGAAAAATCGTTATTATACATAAGTTCCAGAAGCTCAGTGATATATTATCTACCCATCCAATCCCATGTTTGTATCTCTCCTCCCGCACAAATTCCACTGTCCACTCGACACTCGACGCTCGTCTTCCCAAATCAATGAGTTGGTCACCAAAATCCATTCGCACCTCAAGTTCGTCTTTTCTCCATTTTACCGGCTTGCAGCTTTTTTTTTCTTTTTTTTTTGTTTTTTTTTTTTGTTTTTTTTAATTACGATAGCGAAACGAACCAACCGATTCATTTTATGGTTGGAAACCGAACCGAACCCCAAATTTCAGTTCGGTTTTCGGTTTTTATTTTGGAGATCGATTGTTTTCGATTGAACATAAAAGTCCATTTCCTAAAGAAAATAATATTCGTTGTCAACAATAAAATGAACTTTACAAAGAACTCTCACAAAAAAGTCCATTGCAAATAAGTTTATGAGCTCGTTTGGTAGCAGTTCTCAAATTCAAGAAGTTTATATATTGGACACTTCTAAGAAAGACTTCTCAATAAGTTTCCAAACAAACCCTTAAAATTTATAGTTTGTGTTGATTTTGACTGTGCCGACATTATAAATATTGAAAATAAAAATGACTCACTTTCTAGATCTTTTTCCCCTTCCTTCCTTGCATCGATACATAAATCGGTTAATAAAAGAATCAAAAAGGCATAGTCATCGACTTCGGGGAAAGGGTCGAAGAATAGGACTAATCCTAGTAAGTAAGGGGTGCAAAAAATGGGCTTTCTAGCTAGTGCGCGCATCCCTTGGCAATTTAGGCTAAGGGTCAAGTTGGTAATTTTTCTTACATCTCCCCCTCCCGAACGGGCCTTTATCGTTTTCACCTTCATTCGTCCTGCTCGTCGCTCTCGAGCTGTTCGTTCCTTTCGCGGGACTGCAAACCAAGCACGAACAGCAAAAAGGTAGTCATCGTCGATGGTCGGCAAGTATGATGGGCGAACCATCTTGTTCATCCACCAAGTCAACTTAGGGGTAGCTCCCTTGTCGACCAAGGAGGTTAATTCGAATACTATAATATTTTCGACAGTAAATAGAAATGATGATAAATACTAGAATATTTTTACAAATTCGAATTGAATAGTTGGTATTCGCTTAACGGGACACTCCAATAAAATGGGGTTTTTACGCATTTTGTTTTCTTTTTTCACTCTACTCGATTCCCATTTTTCATTATAATTTTTAAACAAAAAAACAATTATCTAAACATTTATTGTGAATTATTTTTATTCATTCAAATATTTATGGCTATTTGATATTTGATACCATAATTGGGTCAACTTGACCCGAGAAGCCGTTTAGCTGAACACGGTGAACCGGTAGGTCGATCGAAGATCGAAGATACCAAACGTCGATCAGTGACGACGCAAGAAAAAATGATCGCGGACAAGTCGAGTTAGGGCCCTTGGATGACCTGATAGAACTCGACCTAAAGGCATGTAGGTCGATGGAATGACCTGAGAGACAGAGCGTACACGTTTAATGTAGAGGCAATCTACCCTAAAGGGAATTAGATCAGTCGTATGATTAAACAGTTTAACAAGGCAAATTAATGGATAAGAATGAACATAATTAATATAAGAACCACGTGTGAATTGGGCCACATGGTCTAACATAATCAGACAGTTTGGGCACTTGGGCAGTACGAACGAGTAGCTTGGCCAAGCGGTCAGCTCATCAAGGAAGTCTTGGGCAATAATGTAACACTCCTATATAAGCAAGTGAGGTACACACTCTAATATACATACAAGTTATTTACAGTTCTTACTGTTCATTCTCTTCCTCATCACACATCACTATTTACTAACTTGATCGTCGAAATCTCTACGCCGAGACAACCCCCAACCCTATTTTGTAGGTCTTTGAACCGATCAATAGCAGATCTAAGGGCGTTCGAGCCGGTCGAGGTTGTTTACACTATCACTAGTAATTATTAATTCTTCTCTAATACTTCTTTTATTATGTTATTTTAGTGAATGTTTTCTACATTTTCTTTTCTTTTTTTTTTTT